CTTCGTTTTTACAATTTTCAGCTCTGAACTTTGAAAACTAGACATATTTTGATGTAAATATTTGAATTTCTTGAAATATTGATTGCTTAAGAAGAGTCGTCTATTACACCAGGCGGTTCATTCCTTCAAGGGTAGTCTTCTTTTGTGAAGACGATGTTTAGAGTATAATTCAACAATAATAAATGTCACTGAAAATAGTTCATCTACATTTTCAATAAACAGAAGTAACCAAGTGATGTGTCCTCTTTGTACAATTTCTCAGCCTTGTTTCATATATACAATAAATAAATACGTCGTTTATCGACAATAGGATATATATAAAGAAGCGAAAGAAAAAAAACTTGAAGGTACCACTATGAACAAATACTACTCTTGGATGTTTGGTATTACAATTGTTTGCTTATACTTAATGGTATGAATAATCAAGTAGTTTTATATTTATCGTTTTGTTATTTAGCTATATCTTATTATATTCCATATTCGATATTGGTAAATTTTAATATTTATTACAGATTTCTGGCAAGTCTTCTAATAAAAATTACATAATAAATATATTTTGCTATTTTATTTATATGTAAAAACACTTGTTTTATGTCTAAAAGTTTTTAAGTTAAAAAATGAATTATTTATTATTCAAAGATTTCTTAAATAATTCGTTATTTTTATTGATCATACTTCATCATTCCACTTATGATTACTTTTAAGCATATTTATTCTAGTAAATAATTGTTATAATATATGCGTTTATTCTCCTTGTGCTTTCATATCAAATTTAATGTTTTTTTCTTTCAACTTATATTACTTATCTCTTCTTCTTATATCTAAATGTTAAATAATAAAATACAACTATTAGTTAGAGAAAAAGAAAAAGATCTCTTCTAAACTTGATTTTGATTCATAAACACATTATGAATAAGTAATTTTTGATCAGTAGGTGGTAGTTACCTTTTATGTTAAGCAACACGTAAATAATTAGAAGAAAAAAAAAACGTTTTTTTTTTTTTGCTTTCATTCGATTCATCGTTATGTTTATTTATTAATCAAAGCAGTTGGATGATATGAATAGATTTTTAATGGTTAATATAAATATGGGCAACGTCAATTTTTCAATTCGTTCTTTTTAATTCATTTTTTTCTTCTTGATCCATTGCCTTGAACCATATACATAAGTATAATAGCGAAGGATTTTAGAAGTAGTTTGTCATACAAATGTCGTCTGCAATCAACCGAACAGAATCGATGCTTTAAAGTGCATATACACATTGAATGAATGTAGGTGTATGTTAAGTCAACAACTATTATATATCGTTGAATCATCTAATCATCAGATATTCGTTATTGAGACTTTTTTTTTCTTATTTTCTTTATCATACAAAACAAAGATGTATTATCTGACAGTAAACTGTAAACCGATTTAATAAGATCAAATTTCCTTTTCATTATTAACGAAAAAAAAAAATTCATCGTATTCAGCAATATCTTTTGTTGTTATTGTAATACCTAGTTTACTTCATTTATATGTGTTGTATATAAAACAGTCATCACTAAAGAATGTCAGTTATAAAAAAAAAAAATAATATTGTTGTTGTCGTAGTAGTAAAAAAAAGAATGACGCGCCATGCCTATTAGTAGAAGAGACATATACAAATACTTTTTTTTTATTGTCAACATAGTTGAAGTGGAATAAGGAATAATTCAAAACTATGCACTTACATCCCTTCTTTTTTATTTGTTTCTATGTCTAGTTCGATATATTTTTATTTTTCATGCATAAAAATTATTAAGAAAAGTAGGCGGTAATAAGACTTAAATGATTGAAAAAAGAAATTCTATAGATTAACATTTTAGTTTTATTCACACATTATTATTAACAAGAAAAAGAAATTATTGAAGGTCATAGAAAAAACAAAGATTTGTATGGTAATATGAAGAAATTTTGCTATCATAAGTATTCGATTATAAAAGGCGAATAAAAAAAAATACTTATATATGTAAAACGACGAAGAGAAATATAGATGATCATAATCAAACAAAGTAATTGATATATATACATATTCAATCGTTTCTTTGAACTGTTTGATCAATAGAATTCAATCCTGTCAAAGAGGAATCACATTTTATCAACTTGCTTTTTTTGTATTCACTCCCGTTTTTTTATTTTTTTTTCTCCGTCTCTCTTTCTTTTTTTTCTTGAGTTGTAAATATATATAAATATAAAACTAAACGAAGTAGAGAGAGAGAGAGAGAGAGAGAGAGAGAGAGAGAGAGAGAAAGAAGAGGAGAAGGAGAGATTATAAGACGAAATATTTCATCGAACGGTGCAGCATAAAACTTTAAAAAAAACGAACGACGTTGTTTGTCATCATAGTGTTAGCCAATCACTTATCCTCACCCATAGAAAAAGTGCTTGTACGTGTCTAATTATATGCACAAGATATATGCTCATATTCAAGTATAAGTAAAAACAATCTATATGTATTTATATTTATGAATTTTCTCTTCATTATTTATTATAATAGATAAAAATCTATTATTTGTATAAAATATGTCTTCAAATACATTTTCTAAACAAAATTCATCTTCTGGCTCAACACATCGTACTCAAACAAGATATGAAAATAATGAGAATAATCCACAACATAATGGTAATCGTCGTAGTTTGAGTGGTAAATTTCGAAATTTATTTCGAAAGACTTCTGCTTCACCTAATCGCACAACGAATAATGGTGAACGTCTACCACCACCTGCATCAACACGTCAACGATCTCTATCACCAGAAGTAAAATCAGTAGCCACCGAACCATCTTATTTACGAGCACCTCTTGTTAGTTGGCCATTTCGAAAGAAAAAATCAAAATCACCAGCAACAATAAATGGTAAAACGAAAACAACAGGTAGTCGTAAAACTAAAAAAACAACAGTACCACCATTGGAAATCTCTGGTCCCATCTATCAACAAGAATATCAAACATCAATACATGGTCAAAATTTTGTCCCAAGAACACCAGAACATTCATATGGTAGTACTGGAAGACCTCATTCAGCATCAAATTACGAAACAACAACAAAAGGTTTTCGTGATTATATGATTATTGATCATGCAAAATCATCTCAACAGGTAAATTCATCCGTTGATAAACTGATTATTTTTGTTCTTAGGATTATCTTTCGTTCGTCTGAATAATATTAACAATCCAACAGCAATTGTTTGTCGACGTACTGTCGAATATATCTTGTTTGTTAATGTCTTTCAATTCTTTAAAATTGACCTTTGGATATGATATTTACTCGGATAATCGATTATTGAAAGAAGAAAAAAAATCTAGAGATAGATAGAGAGAGAGAGAAAGATTGTTTAGGTGTAAAAAAAAACAACTTCATCGGTTTATTCAGCACAAATTATGAGAATATACAATCACTTAAAAATAGACTTTTTCTTTTCGATAGAAAACTGATAGTCACATTGAATGTTCTTTTTTTTTGTTTCAGGTAATCGTACCTGATACTGATATTATTACACCACCACCATATTCATCGAATCGTAATCGTTCACCATCAACGAATCGTCATCGTTTACCTGATACAAATATTGAATATTCTTATCATAATGATGTTTCATCACCACCAATATCAGATAGTGAAGTCTTTCATACACCAAAACAACAACGTAAAGTTGGTGATATTTCATCATTAACAGCTATTCAAACTTTAGTTGATAAAACTCCATTACGTCCTCAAACTTCAAATTATTCTCCATCAAAACAACGCCGTCAAGCGGATGAAACTCAACCATTTATAACTACTCAAATGTTAGTCGAAAATACTCCAATACTTACTCCAACAAAGACACGATCACCAAAATCAACTATAAATTCTAATCAATGGAAGAGTATATCATCATCTTCTCTCAATAATACTGGAATGCATTCAACAGTATCATCATCAATGGGTGTTGATGTTCCAAAATTAAATGGACCTTTAATGCCACTTGGTTATACATCAAATACAGAAAAACCAAAACAAACTAATTCTCAATCTCATCTTGATACAACATATAATTCATTATCAACTATTAATAATCATGTTCAACCAAATCGATCACATACAAATAAATATGGTTCATCACCTGATGCAGAAATTATGCATAGTAGTAGTTTAACTTCATTACAACCGGCGACAACGAATTGTAAAATTTTTATTTTTATTTATTTTCATTAGATTTTCATTTTGTCTTTTAGTTCCTAAATATCCTGGATTAAATGCTATTATCGATCATCATTTACATCCAACTTCTATTTATTATAATGAATATCCATCAACAACGATAAGTCCTCAACAAAT